AGAGGGCGCAGGCCAGGCTGAGGGACCCCTCTCCCCGTCCCAAGTGCACAAATTTTGTGCACTGGGCCTCTAGTAACCTATTTTTAACAATATAGAGGTAAATAGAAAAAGAGGTGAAAGTTTGAGTAATTGTCTCAGGAGAGTGGTAATTACATGTGGAGCAGCTTATTAGATTTTCTAAAAAATTCAACTTTATTGAATCAATTTATATACAACAAAATATACATATTTTAAGAGTATATAGTTTGATAGGTTTTGACAGGTGGATACACCTGTGTAACAGTAATTACAATCAAGATGTGACTATGTCCGTAATCTCAAAACAGTTTTCTTTTGTCCTCTCAGGTCAGTCCACCTGATTCCTTTGTCCCTGGCAACTACTGATCTGCTTTTATTATAGATTAGATTTGCCTTTTCTAGAGTTTCAGTCAAATGTCATAACAAAGTCTGTGATGTTTTGTTGCTGGGCTTTTGCTCAGCATAATGTTTTTGTGATTTATCTGTGCAGATGCACTAAAGGTAATTTTTTCTTAGTGGTATTCCTTTTATGGGTATACCATGGTTCTATTCATTCACCTGTTGCGCATTTGCTCAACATTTGTTTCATTTTTTGGCTGTTATGAATAAAGTTGCTATGAATATTTGTGTGCAAGTCTTGTGTGGGCACATGCTTTAGTTTTAGTTTTCACATTTCAATCTGTTGTTATACTGTGAGTTAATTTTTTTATTATGAGAAGTAAAGGTCTTGCATTATTTTTTTCACATAGGGCTTTCTAGTTGTTCCAGTTGTTGGAAGGATTATCCTTTTCTGATTGAATTATCTTGATGCTTTTGTTCAAAATCAGTAGGTGTTGAGTCTCTTTCTGGACTCATATCTATTTCATTAATCTACATATTTATTCTTAATGCCAATATGACACTGTGTTGATTGATTTATAGTAAGTTTTTAAATCAGATAAGTCCTCCAATTTTATTCTTTATACAAATTGTTTTGGCCATTCTGGGTCCTTTGCCTTTCTATAATTAACTTTTCTGTGAAAATAAAAGGTTGCTGGATTTTGATTGGGATTTTATTGATCTACAAATGAACTTGGAAAAATTGTCATCTTAACTATAGTCTTCCATATCTTTCCACTTTTTTAGGTTTGCTTTAATTTTTCTCAGCAGTATTTTGTAGTTCTTATTATATAGTTATTGCACATATTCTGTTATATTTATTTCTAAGTATGTCAGGTTTTTTGATGCTACTATAAATGGAATTGTTTTAAAATTTCTGTTGTTTATTACTAGCATACAGGAATATATTTTGTTTTAGTTTGCTAAACTTTTATCCTGTTATTTTCCTGAAGTCATTTATTAATTCTAGTGGCTTTTTAAAAGATTGCTTAGAATTTTCCTTGTACAGAGTCATGTCCTTTGTGACTAGAGAAACTTACCTTTTTATGTCTTTAATACTTTTTCTTCTCTTACTGCACTCTCTAGGACTGCTAGTACATTTTTGAAAAGAAGTAGTGAGAGTAGACATACTTGATTTTTTTCTCAATTTTAGGGGTTAAGTATTTGGTCTTTTACTATTAAATATGTTGTTAGAAATAGTTTTTTTGACAATGCCTTTTATTACATTGAGGATATTTCCTTGTAGTTATAGCTCATTGACAGTCTTTATCATGAGTGGGTGTTTAATTGTGTCAAATGCTTTGTCTACATCTATAAAGATTATTGGAGGATGGTTTTCTTTTTTATTCTGTTAACATAGTGAATTATATTGATTGGTGTTTGAATGTTAAATTAGTCTTATATTTTTTAGTTAAACTGCATTTGGTCATTATGTGCTCATATATTGCTAATTTTTAGTTCAGTAGTTTTGCCTTTGTGTTTTATATTGGTTTTTAGTTCCCTTGTAATGTCCTTGTCTACTTTTGGTGAAGAGTAGGCTGGCTGCAAAAAGCAAGTTGAGAAATGTTTTCATGAATAGTGTACTTTAAATGAACAGTTTTTTGATACACTACAATCTATTAAATAATTCAGTTGATATATAAATACTTTGCTATTGTATTGCTTAGACTTCTGAGTTGTAAGAAACTCAGTTCAACCTTCTTGATATAAAAATATTTATTAGCTTAATGGCTCTGAGGGCTTCAAGTTTTGCTGAATCCAAGTCTGTAGATGTTACTGTCAATAATATGTATCTGTCTCTTTCTCTCATTATGTAGTTTCTCCATTTTGGGAGAGAGTTAGCCTTCATCAGCTCTGGGGTTACATATTGCTTGGAGTTTGAGATTGAAAACGAGAGAGGCCTTCTGTCTCCTATCATCTATAATAATATGTATAAAAGGACTTGAATATCCCTACTTGAATCACATATATACAATCACTTTGTCTAGGTCAGAAGTAGGTAAACCACAACCTGTGGGCCAAATTCTGCCTTTATTTTTTAAAAGTTTAGTTTAATTGGAACAGTCATGCTCATTGTTTATGTATTTTCAAGTGCTGCTTTTGTGCTATAACAGCATAATTAAGTAGTTGATATAGAAACTGTATGGACTGCAAAGCCTAAAATACTTTTAAGAAAGAGTGCTGATCTTTGGTCTAGTCAGGCTGTGCTAATTGGTTGTGGAATCAGAGCCTCTTGATTGACAGCTCTATCATAATCACAGTGGGGGAAGAGAGCAATTCCCAAAAGGATTGGCAGTTCCTGAAAGCAGAGGATATGAAACAGACACCTTCCTTCTAAATATAAAAGGACTTGTCTGTTACACTCAATTTTTCTTTGTGTTGCAACACTGATACAAATGTTAATAGAATAAGATTTTATGAGTAAGGCTGATTAATGTAGGAGATATAGGAGAATATGTGAGGATATAGGAATGGAACCCTTAAATTACATAAATTACAAAGATAGCAGTGTGAATAATGTAAATTGATGGTTTATAATTTTTCTTTTCTCAGATGATGAAACATGCCTGGGATAATTATAGGATATATGGATGGGGACATAATGAACTCAGACCTATTGCAAAGAAAGGACACTCTACAAATATATTTGGTAAGTTTACTTTTTCTGATTACTATTTCCATTTTCTATGTCCATTTTTAAAACAAGACTTAACTTTTTAAATTCTTTCTAAACCCTGAGTATTTCTATGGAATGGAATTATAATTTGAAGCAACATGTATTTTTTCTCAAGTTTCAGTCAAGATTGGTTATGGTTGCCTTGGAATACACAGATACGTGGTTTGATCTGTCAACCACTAAATCTTCCTTTATATCAGCAGTAAGGCTGTTTTCCTTTTTAAATATTTGTATATTCACTGGAGTAGCACTTTTTATCTCCTTCAAGAACTTTTTATTTTCATTTACAGCTTGGCTGACTGGTGCAAAAGGTCTAGCTTTCAGCCTACCTTGGCTTTCAACATGCCTTCCTCTGTAAGCTTCATCATTTGTAGCTTTTAATTTAAATTGAGACATGCGACTCTTCCTTTTATTTGAATAGTTAGAGGCCATTGTAGGTTGTTTAACTAGTATAATTTTAAATTGTTGTGTCTCGGAATAGGGAGGCCCGAGGGAGAGGGAGAGAGACGGGGGACAGCTGGTTGGTGGAACAGTCAGAACATATACAGCATTTACTAAGTTTTGCATCTTATATGGGCACCACAAAATAATTATAAGAGTAACATTAAAAACCACTGATCACCATCACAATAATGAAAAAGTTAGAAATATTGTGAGAATAATAAAAATGTGAAGTGAGCAAATGCTGTTGGAAAAATTGGGGCTGATAGACTTGTTCGGCAGAGGGTTGCCACAACCTTCAATTTGTAAAGAACACACAGTATCTGTGAAGCACAGTAATACAAAGAGCAATGAAATGAGGGATGCCTACACATAAAAAAATTAACATGCCCAAGGCGGTCTACTTGGTAAATTGAGTGGGTTATTTTATACATTCACAATTACAAAGGAAAAATTAGCAATGTGAATGTGGATGGAAGTCTGGGGAAGAGCTATGTTGACTCTAACGTTCTGCCTTTCTTGAGTTCAGCCCACTTGTTAAACTTCTCAGTTCAAAGTTAACTTACTTAACTAACTTAACATCTTTTACTTAGTCCAATGATAAGTTTGAGAATTATAAAAACTGTTTTTAGAATCTTCACTTCTTCCCACTATTTTAAATCTTTCTTGTTGTGAGGGATATCTTTTAAATAAAAATAGGTGAAAATACTATTGGGGTATTAAGGCACATAAACTAGTTAATATACAATGTAGTTGTCTCTACTAGTTGTAACAAATCACTACAGTACTTCAAATAGCAGCATATTTCTTTGTAAAACTATGGAAGAATTTTTCTAATGCTATAATTCTCTTACAATTTGTTTTTTTGCTTGGATGCTTTCTGTAAAAAAAAAAAAAAAAAATGGCCGAAACCCGTTTGGCTCAGTGGATTGAGCATCGGCTTGCGGACTGAGGGGTCCCGGGTTCGATTTTGGTCAAGGGCATGTACCTGGGTTGCGGGCACATCCCCAGTTGGGGATGTGCAGGAGGCGGCTGATCGATGTTTCTCTCTCATCGATGTTTCTGACTCTCTATCTCTCTCCCTTCCTCTCTGTAAAAAATCAATAAAATATATTTAAAAAAAAGAAAGAAAATGACTGGAAAGTTAATTTTTCCTGGGTTTGAAAGATGTTGGGATGGAGGGATAATGGAAAAATTTAAAAAAATATTTATAGTATTATTTAAAATTTAAAATTATAACGAAATGTCAGAGATCTCATTATATGACATTTAATTTAGAGATCACTTAATGAAATAAGTATATTTCCTCAGCAGAGGTTACAGATGGAAAAGTTCCCATTGCTTTGTGGATGCCACAATGTGAGACATTAGTGCAGGAAAAATCCATTATATTTAATGGTTAATTAAAATTAGATCCTCTAGGAGCGTGTCCCTGCGGCTGGCATGCGCCACCTGGTACCGGAACTCCAAGTGGGCGGGACCCACTCCTGGCTGACCGCTCATGTCTCTGCAGAGCCGAGTCCCTGCCCCCCTGGCACAGCCGTGTTTGGCGGGACAACTGCTTAGTGCCCCACGCCCCTGGCCAGGCACCTCAGCCTGTGCCAAGTGGACCCGCAGCAGTGCATGCGGTCCTCCGGCGTCCCCTGATGCCAACGGGCCCCGCACGCGGACCCCAGCGGGAGTTGGGGCTTGAGAGGCACTGGCGGAGGGGCGGAGAGCTGGGGTGTGCACCTGGGCCCCCCTGGCCTTGGTGGCGAAAGTGGACCCGAACACCTGCACCAACTGGAAGGAGGCAAAATCCTTTCTGAAGGGCCTGAGTGACAAGCAGCGGGAGGAACATTACTTCTGCCAGGACTTCATCAGGCTGAAGAAGATCCCGACCTGGAAGGAGACGGCGAAAGGGTTGACCCCGAAGGTGGAGGAGCCCAAGTACAAAAAGGACAAGCATCTCAATGAGAAGATCTCCCTGTTCCGAGGTGATATCACCAAGCTGGAGGTGGACGCCATTATCAACGCCGCCAACAACTCTCTGCTCGGAGGCGGCGGTGTGGACGGCTGCATTCACCGGGCCGCCGGGCCCCTCCTCACCGCGGAGTGCCGGACCCTGCAGCACTGCGAGACTGGGAAGGCCAAGATCACCAGCGGCTATCGGCTGCCGGCTAAGTATGTCATCCACACGGTGGGGCCCATCGTCCGCGGAGCGCCCAGCGCCAGCCAGGCTGCCAAGCTCCGCAGCTGCTACCTGAGCAGCCTCGCCTTGCTGCTGGAGCACCAGCTCCGCTCCGCCGCCTTCCCCTGCATCTCCACCGGAGTGTTTGGCTACCCCAACGAGGCAGCTGCAGAGGTGGTGCTGGTCACGCTGCGCGAGTGGCTGGAGCAGCACAAGGACAAGGTGGACCGGCTGATCATCTGTGTGTTTCTGGAGAAGGACGAAAACATCTACCTGCAGCGGCTCCCCCCCTATTTCCCAGTGGCCTGACCAGGTCTGAGTTGCTGCACACCCTGACCAGGGGGAGTCGCCTGGGCCTGCTGGACCTTGTTCCCAGCTCTAAGAGGTCGCTGAAGCCTGCAGCTGGGCCTGGGCCTGGCCACCCCACCCTGTCCCTCAGCCCCCTGCCACTCAGCAGCCTCCTAATAAAGACCACCCTTGTTGCAATAAAGAAATATCCTCTCTTCAAGTAAATATCCCGTTAAATTAAACTCAGTGGTAAAGGGTGAGCCCTTTTAAAGGGTTGGAGTATAAAAGCGTACTGAAAACAAGAGTTGGATATTAATTTTCTAAATTAAAATTTTAGAGAGGAAGGGAGAAAGAAAGAGAAACATCGATTTGTTGTTCCACTTATTTATGCATTCATTGGTTGATTCTTGAATGTGTCTTGACTGGAATCAAACCGGAAACCTTGGTGTATCAGGATGATGCTCTAACGGTTAGAGCATGGAAGCATCCATGCCGGGGTGTGCACCTGGTTGAGCTACTCAACCAGGGCCTCTGCTTGTTGGTTTTTTTCTTTCCTTTTCTTTTTCTTTTTCTTTTTCTTTTTCTTTCTCCTCCTCTTCCTCCCTCTCCCCCCCCCTTCCTTTCCTTCTCTTTTCTTAACTTTTCTTTATTGATTTCAGAAAGGAAGGGAGAGGGAGAGAGAGATAAAAACAATAACGAGAGAGAATCATGGATTGGCTGCCTCCTGCACGCCCCCCACTGGGGACTGAGGCTGCAACCCTGGCTTGAGCCCTTGACTAGAATCGAACCCGGGACCCTTCAGTCCACAGGCTGACACTCTATCCACTGAGCCAAACTGGGTAGGGCCTCTGCTTGTGTTTTTTAAAACCTTCTTTCTCAGAACATTTAATGTATTTACATTTATCAAATAGATACTGGTTCTAGGCAAGGTAGTAGGTAAGACACACATTATTTCATATAATCATTGCAATAATTATGTAAGGAAAGATTGCTGAATTTAAATTCAGAAGATAAATGAGCTTTCATGTAACTTTAAAAATTTCATTCCTTAGAAGTCAGTACAGATCTTTTAAGTGAGCAAAAGGGATGTTTCTTAACTGAATGTAATTTTGTTAAATCCTAGTGGAGAAGTTTTGACTTAATGTTTTTTTAAAAAATAATAGGATCTTTAAAAAATGAAAAGCAGTTTTAATTTTTGGTAATTTGGTCAGACTTCTTTAAATGTAAACTTGTAGATCACTGTTTGGTTAGGTTGGTAAGTGATGATGGGTCCTGGCAGGTTCAGATTATTGTTAGGAGAGTTCTTGCTAGCTGGCCATTAGGAGTACTTAAATTGGTTTACTGGACACACTGTGTTTATTTGTGAGATCATAAAAGTTAAAGGAAGTTACAGTTAAAGGAAGTTGGAATAATATATTTTATTGAAGAAGCCCTTTCCTTCTGGATTAACTGGGTATAGAAGCAGAATTTTCCCAGTGGTCCTCCATTTCAGAGGCATCATTCTTAAAATGAATAGTAATTAACTATACGTTCCAATAAAATGTTTTACCTTCTTCTACAAATCTGACATGAGGTCAATAATGTGCTTTAGATTCTGAAATTTGGTTTGTTGAATAAGACTCTATTTTCCTTTAGAGCAATAGTTATATACACATTAATAATAAAACATCTATAGTATTTATATAGTTTATTCTGCTGTAGACTGAATTGTGTCTGTCACAAATTTACATGTTGAAGCTCTAACACCCAATATATATTTGGAGATAGAGCCTAATTGGGAGTTAAGCCTAATTAAGGTTAAATGAGGTTGTAAGTGTGGAACCCTAATCTCAATAAGGTTAAATTACGTAAGTGTGGGGCCTCTTACAAGAAGAGAAAAAAACACCAGATCTCACTCTTCCCATGTACACACACCAGGGAAAGACCATATGAGGACATGGTGAGAAGGTGGATATCTACAAGCCAGGAAGAAAGCCTTCACCAAAGCCTGGAGCCTAAATCTTAGATTTCTAGTCTCCAGAACTATGAGAAAATAAATTTCCGTTGTTTAAACCTCCTAGTCTATGATATTCTATTGCGGCAGCCTGAACAGTCTAATAAACATACTGTATGCCACAGACTTATTTCAGAGATTGATGTGAATTGGACTAACAGCAACCTTAATGAGACAGGGACTGTTATTATTGTTCCTATTTTACAGATGAGAAAGCCAAAGCACATTTAGGGTCAACTAACTTTTCTTAGGTCACACAATTAGGAAATAATGGGGCCAGGATTTGAATCAAAACATTCTAGTGCTAAGATCCATGCTTATAACCACTATTCTATACTGCTTCAGGAATCCTTCAAGAAAGGAAAAGGTAGTATCAGCACACGGGAAAAATCCAGTGTGAGAAGAAAATGATAGTGAAATGGTAGACAAAGTGGAAAATGTAATCTGCTGAAGTGTTAGTAGTCAAAATTAGCTGCGTGTATCTTTTTTTTTTTTAATATATTTTATTGATTTTTTACAGAGAGGAAGGGAGAGAGATAGAGAGTCAGAAACATCGATGAGAGAGAAACATCGACCAGCTGCCTCCTGCACATCTCCTACTGGAGATGTGCCCGCAACCCAGGTACATGCCCTTGACCGGAATCGAACCCGGGACCCTTCAGTCCGCAGGCCGACGCTCTATCCACTGAGCCAAACCGGTTTCGGCAGCTGCGTGTATCTTTTAATAATTTTGCCTGTCTGTGCCTTGGGGCTTTTATCCAATGGCACAAACCTAAAACTACCTATAAACTTTGAAATAAGAACAAAAACTGGTACTCTTAAGGATTTAAAATAAACATGATAAATATTTTGGACAAAATACTAAAGAGATAAATAAGTGATTATGGAAGAGATTGGGATATATGGGTGATTAAATCGCTTAATAAAGCTTTTGTTATCTTAATAAAATCTGAGGAACAAGAAAAGTGAAAGTATGTCTGTAATAACCCAGAACATTCTAGTTAATATCAACATGGAGTTGGGAGAAGACTAAGTAACTTACCAGAGTGTGGTGGAGTACTTGTCTTGTTATCAAGATACTAGAGGCCTGATGCACGAAATTTGTGCACTCGGGAGTGAGGGCGGGGATCCCTCAGCCTGGCCTGCGCCCTCTCACAGTCTGGGAACCTACGGGGAGCGGGCCTAAGCTGTCTGTCAGACATCCTTATTGTTGCTGTGGAGGCGGGAGAGCCACTGCTGTGCTCACCAGCTGTGAGCCCAACTTCTGGCTGAGCAGCATTCCCTTGTGACCACAGGGGGCAGCTCCTGCATTGACTGTCTGCCCCCTGGTAGTCAGAGTACATCATAGCGACCAGTTGTTCCGCTGTTCAGTTGATTTGCGTATTAGCCTTTTATTATATAGGATACTTGTTAAGTTGAAGAAAGTATTGGGAGTACATGAATAAGAAAATGTGATAGTTGTTCATTATAAGAACAAATTTGTATAGTTTTATTTATTTTACTAAATAAAAGCATTAATTTTTTTCAAACGCAAGCCTGTCACTTTTTTTTGAGATTTTCAATATACTTTAATTAATTTACTAAAAATTTTTTTTCTATTACGGTTGTATGGCTATAAACTTTCAGAAGAAAACACTATTTACCCAGTAGAGAAAGGGTCAGAAGAAAAAAGTAAAGAAAGATTAGTAAATTAAGTAATTTCAAATGCTGATTCCTAAAATATCACAAGATAACTTAAGACAAAACTTTATCTTTGTCTAATGCTTGCTTTGTAAAGTAGATCACTACCTCAGCAGAGCCTTAGTAGCCTGTCAGATGGGGAAGGAAAAAGTTGAGATGTTTATTGAGATTTAAAATCTGTATTTTTTAGATGGGCCTTGTAATTGGAGGAGGCTTGTTTATGATAATCAGATAAGAATCATGATATAATAATTTAGGATTGGCAAGCAGGAAATTTGGAGGTAAAGAGTTCAGAGCTTTGGTGTGTAATCCATCTTGTGATACTTTCTGTTGAAGAGTTGATGGGTCTCTCAGGAAGTTCCTGGAGTGAGCAATGAAATTAACTTTCATCATTCTGAGCAAGAGACTCCTGGAACAGTAAACTTTGATGAAGACAGTATAATAATAAAGTCATGTTAATGTAGATAGTAAACTGTGTGGATGATTTTCATTCTCAGAAGATGGAAATAATAATTGCATTCCTGGGGTTGGGGAGGACCCATTTGCTCCCTTTTATTTTTTTTTCTGTGCTACTATGTTTGTTTGCTAATATTTTATTCAGGAATCTTGCAATTCATTAGTAAGATTGGCTTGATTCTTGTCATGTGTTTTTAGTATCTAGTTTTGGTATCAGCTAGCTTTTTAAAAAAATACATTTTTATTGATTTTGGAGAGGAAGGGAGAGGGAGAGAGCGAGAGATAGAAACATCAATGATTAAAGGGAATCATTGATTGGCTGCCTCCTGCATGTCCCCTACTGGGGATCAGGCCTGTAACCTGGGTGTGTGCTCTGACTGGGAATCCAACCATGAACTGGTCCATGAGTCGATGCTCAACCACTGAGGCATGCCAGCCAGGCTCAGGTAGCTTTTTTGAATTAGTTCCTACCTTGTGGAAACATTTCCTTTAAGATTAGGGTTATCTCTTTCTTGTAGATGGGTAAATCTTACTATTTTGATTTTCTCTACTCACGTTTGATTTATGGCTTCCTTTTTCAGTATGATCAACCTGCTTTTTGATTGTTAAGGATTATTGCAATTTCTGTTCCATAATTACCTAGCCTTGTTGTACTTGTACTATTATTTTTAAATAGATATTTTGCCTTTTCTATGAATTTGTACCAGAAGAACATGGTTGTCTTGAAACCGGACAACAAATAGGTCAGGACTGCCTATCACGACTTAAGCCAATTAAGCAGAGACAGGGTTGAATCGTATATGAGCATTTTTATTTTCTAATGTTTATTTTCTAATATTGCTGGCAGCATGGGAGACCAGCAGGTCATCCACAAATATCTGCTCTGCCCCTCCTCCCCCATAAGCCTGCTACTTATATTGGGAAGAAGGACAAAGATTATGTGTGGAATTAGGCAAAAGGAATAAGAATGGGTATGCAAATGGAATAATGGGTAAAATAGTTACAGATTACAGGCAGTAGGGGGAATGCCTCCAGGATTCCATTGTTTCCCAAGAAGGTTGCTAATCTTTTCA